TATTGAGTTAAAGCAGCTCACGGAAGAGTCTGACAAGTTCCAGAGCCCGTGGTGAGGGATGGATGTGACTGGGAGCAGAGGAGGGGAAGGGAGGAATAAATGGCAAGGGGGTGGTAGGGAGAGAGGCTTCTCTCCTTTGCTTTGTCAGCCAACTATTTTGCTGCCTGTTAAGGTGCACATGCAGACTTCTGAGAACTCAGAAACATACTCTGTCTGTCTCCCGTTGTAACATCAATTGCGTCAAAATTCCCATATCTCAACAGTGCTTTACCATGCCTATAACATAAATGCTGACACCCAGATGCTGCAACAATAATGCACACAAGAACTCCCCAGGACGAATTTAGGTTGAACAGGACTCCCTATGCTTGATGCACAACTATGGAATATGACATAACTGTGGCACGATCCTTGTCACGTATCAATCCTTGCCTGTATTTTAGTTTGTCAGGGAATTATGTGGAAGTGTAGGATTGCTCACCGAGTTCAGTTTACTGTAAGGAAAGATGCAGTACTTTATTCCATGATATCATTGTACTCTAAGTATTTGAAAGGACTGTATGCAAACTGCTTTAAGAGGCTGTCAGAGGAAAAATTCATAGTTGTTTCTCTGGCTTCTGCACCTTCCTGGGGTAGCTTTTTCAGGAAAAAGTAGAATTATTTCATTACAAATATTTAAAAAAAATACTGGAAACTTGTTGCAGATGTTTGAGAGGGTTTATTTTGTACTGGCAGGCAAAGTATGTTTTTTGAACTTCCAGATTGTGCAGTTGAGAGAAGAGTTTTTGTGGACTTAGATTCTAGTTCCTGCTATTGAAGCAAGGATTATGTTAGGTTCTCTGGCTTTGTTCAGAAGGTCTTGGGTAAACAATTCTGTTGAGAAAGGAGAAGTGTCTATCTTCTTTCCAGGAGAAAGGCCTGTAAGCATATAAGATAAGTATACTGTGGGAAGATGTCATTGTAGTTCCCTGGCTAGTGATGTGGTGGTGTTTACCTCTCCAGTTATATATAGTCAGGTAGCTCTGTGAATGTGAACTGTCTTTCACTACCTGTATTTTGTTTGGGCCCTCCCTGGAAAAATTAATCTTTTAACTCAATATTCCATGCTTAGACTTGGATTGATGACCTTATAAATTTGAAAGCATTCAATTTAGAGACAAATCTGTACAATCATGCAGTTTTAATATTAAATAGCTTCTGCTCAGGAGGAACTTCCAAGTCAACTTGTGTGTAACTTTTTATCCTTTGGTATCGTGGCTACTGATTGTAATGATCAGGTTTTTGTAAATAGTAGAAATAATCTGTTGAGGATTTCAGTGTTGTGAAGTGCAGCAATTCAATGAACTATTTTCATCGGTCACAAACATTTTATCATCTATCGTGGAAATGATCAGAGGCAATGAATATCCTTAGAAGGAGTCATGGTTAAAGTGGTTCATAATTTACAGTAATTCTTTTGGTGTTGGATGGAAATTTTTGTCTTTAGGATTTCCTGCCATCATACTCGATTAAGAATCAGCTTTCTGTGGCTGCCTAAAATCTCATTACTACCCTCCCAAGGACCTCAGATCAACTTACAACCAACCTTTCAAAGAGTGTAACAGTGGATTTCCTAAATTGCACTTCTGTTGAGCAACCTCTAGAAAATAAAGTTGAGGTTTGATCACCTGAATCAGGTGGTGTGTAGACCATTTTCTGGGGTGTGGTTTAATGTATGTATCTTGACACTCTTCTAAATAGGATTAAATGCCTTTGTTCCTTTTTTTTTTCCCGTTAGGCTTCCTCATGTTTTGTTTCTTTCCCTCTTTTTTTTTTCTTTTTTTTTTTTTTTCCTCTTCTTTCTACTCTAAAGCGTATTTTCCAATAACATGCAGCAATTCAGAGACAGGCTGGGAATAGAATTCAGGCTTCCCCCTCACCCCAAAATACAGCCTGGAAACAAGGTTATTTTATTGAGGCATCCACTGTCTACTTTGAACCTACATTATCTTACGGGTATACCTTAAATACCTTATGGTATTTAGGGTAGTTGAAGAAAAGCAGTTATCTTGAACTTCAGATGTATGGTGTAAATCTTGATAGGTATTAAATTGAAATTGGTTTAAAAGTCATGCCACAGGTTGTTTAATGACTAAAACTAAAAGCTCCAGTGTTGATGCAATTATGCACAATTTATTTTATTCATAGAACTGGAATAAACTATTGCAATATGATTTTATTGTGCTGTAGAGTTGTCTAGCTTCCGTTGTGCTGGGATAGTTAAAGATAGTTAAAGACAAGGCTTTCAAAAGTTAAGAACGCTATCTGAGAAACCAGTTTTCCCAAATCACTTGGTAGTTCCCATGGTACCTCTCATAACATTCCCAGGATAAATGTGCTATGTGTCAAGCAGGAATTGAGCACGTGAAGACAGATAGTGCTGATAGAACAGAACTGGCTTTCTCGGTACCTTATTTATTATCATGGTTGCACATAATTTTCATGTTTTGCAGATGTCTTTGTTTTATGATTCTCATTATAAGTATGGAAAATGGATGTATGCGTAGAAGAAAATAGTTCCTTTGGTTTTGCTTTGAATCATAAGAGTAACAAAACATTAATGGGCAGGTTTTTCATTTGAGAAAACATACCTAATTGAGATAGATCAGATTGCTGATGAAATGGACAGATGATGCATGGCAGGAGAGATACGATCTCTGTTACTCTAACTAAAAGTGCCTAATGCAGGGATTTCTTTGATATTCTGGGGAAGGTAATGAGGGATTTGATTATTTTGTCTGAATTCCTGTTACTTGCTTTTAACCTGAGGTCTGTAGTCTGTTTTAACTACTGTCAGGAATATTCAGATGCTGTCTGCTGGTTTTTGAAACTTCTAGGTAAATTTTGGTTAATGATACTTCATTTTATTGAACTTCACTCTATTAGCTGTGCCTCGCTGCTGGGCTTTTGTAACTTGGAATATAGTTAAGTTTGTAGTGAGGAAAAATAAGAGTAGGTTTGACTCCTGTTTGAGTCTGACTATCAGCTTGGGGCTAGTGTCAAAAAAAGCTGTCCTTCCTGTGTCAGTTCCTTAAATTAGGCTTTTTGGATTTTATCCTCAGCATGTCGCTGTTATTGCTTTGTTGCTATGATACAATACTTACTCATGCAATCTGCTGTAGAATATTAGAAGATCTGAGCTGAAATGTTATGTAACTTACAAATGTTTTTACAGCTGATGTTAATTTTTTTGCAGAGTGTAACAATTCATGTCTCTCTAGTTATCTGAGTGAAATAAGCATCCTGCAAAATTTTTATTCAAAAGAGAAATGGTTAAAATTGCAGAATTAACATTCAAAAGTATGAATTGTTCTTTATGAGGGAATAGTAATTGCCAGCTTTTTCAAAAGCTCACTGAAGTTGTTATGCTTGGTTAATAGGATCATGACTGTCGGATGGGGAAAGGGAATACAATACAATATTCCGGTGTTTGAACTTTCCAGGGCAGAGCGAGCAGTTGGGATTACAGTGGAGGCGTTTCAGTCCATTTTAGCAATTACTTTTTGCTTACGGAAACAAAAGAATTCTGTCAGATAATTAGTGAATATTAAACCCACTCTTGACTCTTGCTGTTCCAGCCACTGAACAGAAGGTGTTTTGGTAAGAAACTTGGAAGAACTGGAGTTATTGAAGAGTGTTTGAGTTGTTAAACTTACAAAGTTAAAACAAAGTCTGTTTAATTGGAATAATCCTAAAATAATAAAGAGAAGCATGAGATCTTTTTGAGATTTGTTCAAATTTTAACGTGAGACTTAAGATTTTCAGTACGCAGTGTTACAAGGCAGTGGCCTTTTTCTTGTCTTGATAATTTGCTTATGAAACAACAGTCCTAATATCAATACTGCACTGAATGAATGAAGCTAAGGGATTAGTAGTCTGGCTATAGACAAGTCTTGAAAATTCTTCAGGGGGAGAGCATTCCTTATTTGCAGATAAAATTGGAAATAAAAATTTTTCACCAGAAGACACGAAATCCCAACTGACTGATAGATGAGTGATGCTATGTTGCTGGAGTGGCTTAGAACCTCAACAAGCAATTAAAAACAAGAACGAAAGGCACATTAAACCAATTTTTCAGTTGAAACCATGGCTGCTTTTGTTGTGATCATGCAACTTTTGAACAGTTACAATATTTTAAGGGTGTATTAAATTTTTGAAGTGTACTGTACTTAATAATCCATCTTTTTTAGAGCTAATGTGAAATACTAATGGAGGAATTTTGCTTATCAGCTTATAGAGAAACTACACTCTAAAATGAAAATGCCATGTCATAGCAAACATGTTGTCTTAATAGGCCAAAAATACTGGAAAATCTTACATGACTGAGATTGTCATAAATTATTTAGACCACAGCATGAAAATTCAGGATTAATCCTTTTGAAATATAGGAGTTGATTCTTAAGAGAAACATTTGTCACATGATGTCAAAAGTATGTGAAGCATTTTGCATTGGGGTAAAAAGACAAGGTTCCTTCAAAGCAGATTTTACAGCTTTTAAGCAGGTTACATAATAAAGGATTAGGGAACAGAATGAGACAAATCGGATGAATGAAAGGTTAGTATGATGTACTGCTTCTGTATATGACTTTTGGTGAGGGAGAGTTGGTACTTGTTAATGTCTATGTATTTCAAATAAAGTTTATTCAGGAACTCGTTTTCTGTAAATGTATTTACTGCCTTATATTTATCTATTATTTCTTGTATGAAACACAAGTTGTGAATGGCGGGTCTTTCATTCTAACATACTTAAACAGGTATTTTCTGTTTTGACAATATTGCTTATTAATTTGCTGACTATAGAGCATACTGTTCCCCATAACAAAAAAACCTGATAGCTATGCAAATTTTAGTCAACAAAATACCAGATTTAGAAATCCTGAGTTTGGTTCTACAGACCTAAGCTTTGGTTGTGGGTGTGGGGTGGTTTATTTTATTTTATTTTATTTTATTTTATTTTATAGATGCCACCTTCAATGAACAGCAAGATCTTTTTTGTCAGAAGTTGCAACAGTGTTGTGTACTCTTTGACTTCATGGACTCTGTTTCGGACCTGAAAAGCAAAGAAATTAAGAGAGCAACACTGAATGAACTGGTTGAATATGTTTCAACAAATCGTGGAGTGATTGTTGAATCAGCTTATGCTGACATAGTGAAAATGGTAAGTAGAATGCTCTTGCTATATTTTGAGTTTTAACAAAATATCTTCAGTTAATCAGTTTATGACTCTGAGGACATCTGACTCAGAATTGCTCTTGGTTACTCTGCTTATACAGGATAATAAAGTTTGTTAATGATAAGTTGGCTTACAAGATTGTTTAGAAAGTCTTGTAAAAACAAACAAACAACTTGTAAGTTTTAATTATTAGCTCAAATATGATGCATTCAGGTTAATTAAAATGAAAGAACTGGTATATTGCAGATGCTTGCAGTCTGGGTAAGCTTTGAAGTTGTTCCCGTTCAGAAAATGGCTGTATTTCAGTGCTGCCTGTCTTTATTTATGAAAGGCAGCAGAGTGACAGGTTAAAGTTTTCTGGTAAAGATTCTTGCGGGTACTAGTGTCAACAGAAAGGTTTATCAGTCCAAGAAAGCAGCTCTGCTTTGTAAATACTTTATATGGCTGTTTGTTACTGTTTTGGTCTTGGAGAGCTGTGCTATAGTAGTTTAAGTGGTTTGCTCAAGTTGTAAACCACAGGATGACTTGTACTGTGCAATTCCTACAAATGGCTTGTTGAATAAGCAAAAAAAATTTGTGGTTGTTATCTGCTGACTTTCCCAGTTTTTTTTTAGTATGCATTTTCAAATGCTACATAAGTGATGTTTTAGATATGACTATATTCCATGTACGGGGAACGCAACAGAAGGATATTTGATAATCTGAAATATTTTCAAATTGTTTTATCTAGAAATTTGAAATGTAAAAAGAATGTGTTTAGTGCCTGTGCATTTAGGCTAATGGATCTCTAAACTTCAGTTAAGTTTACATAGGCATAATACTGACTTTAAAAGTAGCTCTTGGGAATGTTAAGCAGACCACCAGTTCAAACATATGGTCTGCGGCTTTTGTAGTTTTCTATACAGTGCAACCTATTTTTATTAAGGTTTTGTTTGTTTTTTGTTTGGTGGATTTTGGTTTTTTCTTTTTCTGTGAGCAGCTGATATGGAAGATCAGATCTTTAATATAAATTAAGTGTAGAAATTTTGCCGTTATACTGAAGGGCTAGGATTATTGAAACCCTTTTAATAATTTTGGCTTTTTCACCAGATGCTTACTAAGTTTTACAAAAGATCTAGGATGCTGGGTTTTTTTGTATAGTTTTCTTTTTTAAAGGACCTATGTTTCGGTCCTTAATGGGTTTTTTACAGAAGAAAATAAAGGACAGAGTATGTCCACCTCTTCTCTTTTGGTGGCTTTTTTTTTGCTGCTGCTGCTGGTGGCAGCAAGCCTGAATCCTTGCAGTATTTCTTACTCTGTGTGCCCTCTATAGCCTCTTGTTAGAAGAAAGAGTATACTAACTAGCATGTCATACTTGTTGAAGGGAGATTTTCTTTTAGGTTGGAGTTGTTTTCTTTTCTTGGAGATGAGGTGTTATTGAGCTGTTCTTCTGAGGTTATTGTTGTGCAAATGATTGGGCTCTGTGGATGCTTGTTTTTCCTTCCATAACAAATTTCCATCTCCTTTTCTCTGCTAAAATGACAGAAAATGAAGAAGGCCTTAAATGCTCAGTTGAGAGCTTTTTCAGAGCTTGAGACAAAAGATCCCTCCAAGCCTGAATAGTATTTCTAGTCTCCCTGGCAACTGGCAGCAGAAGAGGTCTTTGCTGTGAATTAGGACGAAGTACCAGCTTTCAGAAAGAACTCTGGATAGGTCTCTCCCTCCAAATAGCAGGCATGTCAGGCTTGGGGCCTGCCTTTGTAGCAAAACTTCGGAGATGTAAAAGATTTTTATTTTTGTTTTAATTTTTAGTCTGTTCGGTGTTGCTACATTAAAAAGCATTTGAGTTTTTTGCAGAGTTTGCAGGATAGTGTTTTTTGGATGAAAAGGAAGAAATAAGCCTTAATGAAACCCAGCTATCATCTGGCTGGTAGTGAAGGATGAACAGACTACAAAAATTCCCTGAAAAAAGCCAGAGTGGCATCAGTGACAGAAGCGGAGCCAATTTCTTTCCAAAGCCCCTAAAAAAGCCTGAGACCCCTTTCCTCCAGCTTGCAGAAGAAGCGGCCCAGTTTTCTTGGAGTCACCCGAGTCTTGAGGAGGCAAAGTCAACAATCCCTTACAGATATCAAGAGGAAAAAAGTGTTCCTCCTGACCAGTGCACAGGCAAGGTCTGTGCAGGTGAGGAGGTCTCCTAGCATTCCTTCCCTTCACATGATCTCTGTTACCATGATAGTTGCTGGGCCAGTACTACACAATAATGGCTCGTGTAGTTGGCACTGCTCTGCTTCGATCCTGAGGTAGGGAGCACTGGTTGAAATGACATCAATGTCTTTCAAGCCACCAAGGATGGAACAAGATGATAAAAACCCATCTTTGTTTAGGCACATGCACAGGACATATGCTGTAGGTTATCTTTTTGGTGTCCCAGGCAACCTGATTTTCCTATAATTCCTTTGCCCAAAGCCTTTGGATCAAGAACTGAGGAAGAGTTTTGCTTACAAGTGGTTTTGAAGGCATAGCATAGTGGTCTGTGAACCTGCTTTCTAGGTCATCTAAAACCAGTGTCTTCTCTGTTTGGAAATTCTTAGTTGAAAGTACTCTGAAGCTAACAGCAAATTAGGGTTCAGCATTGTGAATATTTTAAGTTTTAAAACGTCCTGGGAAGTTAGAAAGCTCTAGCCTTTAACAGGTTTGGGAGCATAACAGAAATGTCCCTCTAGTACATGTTACTCCTCCATCTCCTTGTGCCTGCCAACCTCCCCTCATTGCCTACCAGCGTATAAAAAGCAATGTAAATGAGATTGTCCCAGCAGCTTGCACAAACTGTGAATTCAGAATTCCAGAAAACATCAGGTATCCCTATCTGCACACTCAGAAATTGGAATTGAATCTAGTATTTCTCCAAATGCTTAGCTCCTTGGGAAGTGTATGGACAATACGGGACTTACTTTTTTGTTTTAATAAGGTATTATTGCTGTATCTTAACACGGTAACTGGCACATTTTCAGATGTCACTTTCACAAAACTTTCTGAGATTTAATTTAGAAAGATAATTCTGGGTTTCTCTGGAAACCTATCCAGCTGTAAAAGCCTTTTATGATTTGTATTTCTTAAGTCCCAGTTTTGGGATAAGACCCCACTTACGAGGGAAAAAGGATGGTTTAAATAATATGAGAGGATATAGAGAAGATTTTGCCCATAAAAAAAACAGTGGGGGTTTTAACCCAAACCACATTTTTGGTCAATACTATTAGCAAGACGTTAGAAAGAAGCAAATGAGACAGGAAGCAAAAGTATTTCAAACGTAATGAAGTAAATGGACCAGTTCTTTTGGGAGTCAGGCTATTATATAAAAATGATACACAGTCTGTTCTAAGTTTCATATGTTCTCAGGAGACTGATAATGCTACCAGAAGTACTGAATACTCTGAAAATCATAAAATTAGTTTTCCAAAGATTGGCCGAGAGGCTTGCTGTTTTTTTTCTGCTACAGAAGTATGTTCAGTAGTTAGTACCTTTGTTTTGGACTTGAAACTTTTGCATTCTGTACTCTGAGGTTCTGTGCTAAAGGGTTGACTGGTTCAGTTCAGCAAGATGCATCTAGAAATAAAAGGATGCATTTTCAAGAGATGTTACCAGAAGACTTCTTAGCAGAGATAGAGAAGTCTCTGTAGGGGACTGATTTGTATGTTGGATGTTTTTGTTGAATACCTAATAAGAGTAGACAGTATCAGATAACAGAACCAGGATTTTAGTCTTGGGTTTTGGGTTTGATTAAAATTCACATTCTCTCAAGACTCTTCTTTGCCCCTCTTCTCCTCCCAGCCAGTTTCTCTTGTGCTCCAGAATCCCAAGTCATAGAAATCAGATTTGTTTGGCTGGAAGGGACCTTAAAGATCATCCAGTCCCACCCCCCCTGCCATGTGCGGGGATCCCTTCCACTAGACCAGGTTGCTCCATCCAGCCTGGCCTTGAACACTTCCAGGGAGAGGGCATCCACAGCTTCTCTGGGCAATCTGTGCCAGTGCCTCATAGTGGAGAATTTCTTCCTTATATCTAATCTAAATCTACTCTCTTTCAGTTTAGAGCTGTTACCCCTTGTGCTATCGCTCCATGCCCTTGTAAAAAGTCCCTTCCCAGCTTTCTTGTAGGCCCTTTTTAGGTACTGGAAAACTCTTATAAGGTCTCCCCAGAGCCTTCTCTTCTCCAGGCTGAACAACCCCAACTCTCTCAGCCTGTCTTCATAGGAGAGGTGCTCCAGCCCTCTGATCATCTCTGTGGTCCTCCTCTGGACTCGCTCCAACAGGTCCATGTCCTTGTATTGGGGTCCCCAGAGCTGAAGACAGTACTCCAGGTGGGGTCTCACCAGAGCGGAGTAGAGGGGCAGAATCCCCTCCCTTGACCTGCTGGTCACCCTGCTTTTGATGTGGCCCAGGATACGGTTGGCTTTCTGGGCTGCGAGTGCCTATTGCCAGCTCATGTCCAGCTTTTCATCCACCAGTACCCCTAAGTCCTTCTTGGCAGAGCTACTCTCAATCCCTTCATCCCCCAGCCTGTATTGATACAGGGGATTGCCCCGACCCATGTGCAGGACCTTGCACTTGGCCTTGTTGAATCTCATGAGGTTC